ATGCACCATTAGCATGGCAGGAGAGAATGTCTCCATAAATAGAAATGCTTCTTTTCTCATCGGTTCTCTCTCTCCTAGATCTGCAGCCCTGTGTAGGTACTATAATCTAATGAGAACGAGTGGGGGAAATGCTGTAGCTAATGACAGCAGGGATGAGGGTGAACTGAAATGTATGGTGGCAATAAAAGAGATTCAAGTGCCTCATGCCAACAAATGGTACAGTTTTAGTACACATCTAATGAGGCTTCCTACAGAAGACCAACTACATGAGCAGCATTCACCATATACCGAAGAAAGCCTGGATATCCAAAACATAGCCCAGATAATGTCATTTCCCATACCTCGGCGTACAACACCACCACCCTGGCAACCTTACTTAAAAATGCATACCTGCTCCCACTGATCCTTGTTATCATAGGGCCATCTTGACAACAAGTACTTATAAATTTGTGCATACGCCTCCCCCAATGGACAAATGCAGAAACCCTACCATCCATCAGAGTTACAATCTCAGGATCAAGTGCAATGCATAGCACAAAGTAGGTGCTTATTTGCTGAATGAATAAGTGGTGGATGACCAAATGAAGAGGATTGTTTTCCTGAGCTGGTGAGGCATACCTAAATCCCTTTTCTGAGTGAAAACAGAGCCCCTCTAGTGAGATGTTTATCATCACTGAAGGCCTCTAATGCAACCCCTGAGACTAAAAAGGCAGACTGGCAGATGTTCTGCAACACCCTTTCCTTCTTCTGTGACATATTTGGCACGTTATAATTTCTCACTCTAAGAAAATAGGAAGGGAAACAACAGTAATTCAAACAGTCAACAGGAATCAAAGGAAATCACTGTGAAGAGTCAAGTATACACTAGAATTCAGCACAGAGAAACAAGACCTGTCTCATCAGGATGGTAGGCAATCACTGTTAAATGAACGATCCTAAGTTAACTGTCCCAACCTAAACCACCTCTCTCCTCTGTCTGCCTGAATTGACTATTTGATTATAAGGAGTTTTTAAAGGAGTAAAAAAAATATACAGCATTCTTTAGCATTGGATTGAGGAATACCTTTCTAAACAAGATATAAAACTAGAAATAATTTCAAAACATGATCTGACTACCTTTTTTAAAAATGTTAAATTCGAGCCGGGTGGTGGTGGCGCACGCCTTTAATCCCAGCACTCGGGAGGCAGAGCCAGGCGGATCTCTGTGAGTTCGAGGCTAGCCTGGACTACCAAGTGAGTCCCAGGAAAGGCGCAAAGCTACACAGAGAAACCCTGTCTCGAAAAACCAAAAAAAAAAAAAAAAAAAAAAAAGTTAAATTCTATCTGGCAAAAAAGCATCAATATAACACTAAAACCTAATACCAAATCACACAGCACACAAAAGAAAACAATCACACACGTGCACACACACACGTGCACACACATCTATATCAATGCAAAGTTCTTACAAATGACATAGTATGGTTTGCTCTGAGGATGAAGATCGCACATAAACTGCAAGTCACTTTTCCTCGCCTCCAGCTAAGGGTTAAGGATGGGGAGACTATTAGTCTAAGCTTCTGGCCACATACAACAGCCCCCACTTCACACACAAACATTCCTGGCAAGGGTCCAGAAAGAAAGAGTTGATCATTTCTCTCCATTCATCATGGTTGAAAAGATCACTGTGGCCTGGCGCTATCTTATTGCCAGTAGACACAATCTACTATTGTGCAAGGTGAATGCTGCCTGGATTACACTAAACAAGGTATTGGAAAAGCAGACTTAATGATTACACACACACACACACACACACACGCGCACCAGAATCAAAATATACAAAAACTGCTATAAACATTCAAAAATGGGCAAATGATTAGTTATTGATCTACCATTTGCAGGAGGTCTGGGATTGTCGTGTGTGGCCTGATAGTACAGGGAAGCACTCTGAAGGCTTGGCTGCCAAGAAAAGGCATAGTAATCTTAATAAAAGCCACCGTGCCAAAGACAGGACCTTCTCTGATGATCAAACAACAGTTCAGATTCTCCAAAAGTGGACAAAAATAAACTAAATCTCCTATTTACGAGTCTCTACTTTGAACCAGACATCCAGCTCAGTACTTGTCACTGAACTATCAAAGCAAAGTTCCCGAGAGTGCTGTTCCCGTGCTTGATGGGTATGGGTGCCAGGCTGAGGGAGGCACAGATCTACCACATGGCGAGTGTGGGGGGGTGAAGCTAGGATTGCAGTGAGCTCCGTCTACACCACAGCTCAATTTGAGACCACAATGCTCACTCACTTGTACCTGGTCTCAGAGAAAGGTGTAGGCATCGGCAACTCCTCAGTTCATAAAGTAGTTTCAGTGTAACAGACCAAAGCTGCCATCCATTCAGAGCACTCACAACCTCCAATAAGAACCTCCACATTAGTTTCCTGAAGAACACAAACTGAAAATGTAGAGCTGGGCTCCTCAGGGAGTTTGCACCACTCACACCCTCTTAACGAATGCACTGTTAAGATGAAATCGTGAATGCCGCCATGTCAATGCTGAGTTACCCCCTCACCATTACAGCCAGCGCCTTACACCAGGAAACCACACCGTGTACAGAGCAGCTGGTGCACACAATGCACAGTCTAAGCAGTGATTGAAAGTACGATGATGCAGAATCCAGACCCCGTGCCTCTATGAGCTTATAATTTCACTCCCAGAGGCAGAAACCAAACAAGCACAAAGGATACTAAAGAACAAGGGGGACATACAAATACACAAATTAGCTAACAATAAAAACCAAACCCTTCCACACTAAGGAAGTATTTAACTGCAGAGTGAAGTACCTGAGTAGTTCATTTAGAACATTGTTTAAGCAGCCAACAAGTGATTATGAAGGAAAACCAAAGAATCCTTGGATTGTCAATAAAGTCTAATTCTTAGATTCATTTTAAAATACTGTTAGAACAAAAACCTAACCCAAGAAACAGATTTATGAAGAAATGTCATAGATATGCTAGAATGGTTATAATTTCCTACTAATATGGACCCTGAGATGCCTCCCTTTTCTTGTTATCACTGTCTCTAAGAGCCCCTCTGCTCAGATTTGGAGTCTGGAGCTGATGGACTATGGTGGTATAAATGAGAATGGCCCCCCAGACTCATCTATTTGAACGTTTGGTCCTCAGTTAGTAGAACTATTTGGGAAAGATTAGGAGGTGTGGCTTTGTTGGAGGAGGCTTGTAATGGGCTGGGCTTTCAAAAGCTCATGCCATCCATGCAGGGGGTATAAGGGTGAGTGCGGGTAGGTGGGGGTGGTGAGTGGGGGGGAGATGAGGGTGGGTGGTGTGTATGTATACACACACGCTCTAGAAAAAGATGTAAACTCTCAGCTACTGCTCTAGCATCATGCCCGACTGCCTGCTGCAAGCTCTCACCACAAGAGTCATGGACTCACCCTCTGAAACTGTAAAAGGCAGGCAGGAAGGAAGAAAAGTATCAGTGCTCAAGGAAAAGCATAACTTCTAAAAGCTAGAGAGCCTGACTGAAGGCAGGTCTCCCTTTTTCCAGCTGGAGCTGGAAAGGGAAGAAGCACAATGGCTGTCACAGCTGGAATCATGATAACATGTTCTAAGAGTCCTGTTTCTATTGTTTCAAATTACATACAGATGTGCTATCCTTCCAACCATGTCAAATACTTAGAATGGCATGCTGTTTATTTTTTAATCTGCTTCAACCATTACAACCTGAGTCAATGTAGATTTGATCTCTTCTTCCTCCTCCTCCTCCTCCTCCTCCTCCTCCTCCTCCTCCTCCTCTTCCTCCTCAACAGCTCCCTCTCTCCAAGTATCTGGTGGCAGCTCTGAGATATGGAATCTTAACTCAATTTCTGGTCCCTCTTTAAAACTTTCATCTATTCAAAACTCCTCTAGGTAAAAGAACTGAAATATTTCCATCCCTCTTGGGGAAATGAAATTGATTTTCTTCATTTTCACATAGAGGACCCCTGTGTAGCAGTGTTTCGCCCAGCCACACCCATAGTGAACATGGACTAGTGGTGGAAAGGTTTTGTGGCAACCTTGTGCTGAGTTAACCATGAGCTCACAGAGGTGACTCCTGACCAGGAGACTCACCCAGGGACATTCTCATCCGCTTCATGTCAGTCACAACCACAAGTTAGAGAGGACGACAGCTGATGTGGGGAGGCAGGTGAGGTGATGGTAAGAGGGGCCAGCTCCACATTTTCCCTGCCTTCCAATCATTTCTCTTCCCACCATTTTCTGCCTTTAACCTCTTGCCTTAAAGATTATCATCAGAGGGCTCTGTCCAGAGGAAAAATGAACAAATCTATATAATTTTCAGGGAACTTCAACCACCTTTTCCAACTCCCAATTTCATTAACTTAGACATTTTGCAGAACTACAGAAAGTTCAGATAAGGGTTCTAATCTAAAGAAGAATGTACACTATTAGAACAGTAACCTCTCAATACTCTCTAAAACAATCTTCCGGGGGGCTGGTACAGAGTCCTCTGGTACTGACAGATAGGGTGTGAGGACGAACCCTTCCAGCTAAGCTGGCCTTGAGCCTTTGCCCAGTCCCCTTAAAACACTTGCTGTCAGACCCCGCATGACAGCCCCTGGTGCGGACAAAGGCATCCCAAACTCTCCTCCTGGCTCCGAGCACTGCCAGAAGCCTTCAGAAAGCTCTTCCCTAGCTGTGAAGGACAACACTGTCTAACCACAGCTGCCTTCTCTGCTAGACAACAGTGAGTGCAAAGAGCATTTCCAGCTTTCAGGGGTTAGCTGTTTGTCCGCAGTCTCCACATTTCTGCAGGAAAACACAGCACCGAACATGCTGCACAGGTCCACAGTGCATCCACACACTAAGGATATAACTTTCCCTACAGGCTTTTTTGTGTTTGGTTGTTTGTTTTTTTCCTTTTGGTTTTGGTTTTTTGAGAGCAATCTCCCCAAACTCCAAATGTCCTTAAATAAAGATTAAAAACCATTTATTAACAATGAGTACTTACCTGCATACACGAGCTGGAAAATACAACTTTTGCCAAGACCGACATAGGTAATGTGAATGATCTATCACTCTGATCCAATCTAGTTCATCCATAGACACTTCAATAAAGTAGGAATAAGACCTATGAAGTAAAAAGAAAAAAATATGGTACAGTGACAATATAAAATCAAAGTAAAATATTAAAAGGTACCCAAATATAGAATTCACTAATTATATTTCCTGTTTCAAAATCACATTTATCAAATTCAGGTAGCAATGAAAGCTGTATAAAACACTCTACTGTAGCATTTGCCCAATGCTGACATTTCTTCTCAGCTTGTCTTTCCGCCTTAACCAAATGATGAACTAGTTGAGAATGGAATGGAAGATGGTTTTTCTTTACATCGCCAGGAAGCCCTGCCCATGCCACATTAGCAGATTGATAATGCCAAGAGGGAGGGAGGGAGAGACAGGGAAACAGAAGCAGAGCTGGGGTGGGTAGAACAGAGAAGGAACAAGAACAGAGAAGCAGGCGAGTGCCCTTTCCTCCTTCCACGGCCCCTGGCCTAGGTGCTCCCCCCTCCCTTCTCGGCGGGAAAGTAAAATGCAGCAGTGGAATGGTCCTCCACAGAAGCCAGTTCTCTCCAGCCACCTCTCAGTCTCCTACCACACCACACTCAAGAGCAGGCTGCTGGAAAATAAACAACATGGGGCAAAGATAATGCTTGTTTCTTCTAGATGCAACTTGAAACTTGCCAGCTAATAACCTGGCTGTAATGAAAACAGCCCATCATCCACCCCAGTCAGCTGCCCCGGACATTACATGCTAGTCCCATACTGAAAAAATCTGTATTTCCTTGTCATGAGCCAAATTTAAATTTGAGATGCAGTTATTACTTGTACTGTAATATCAACAGGAACAATCTTGGAAGATTTAGGTGACCATAAATGTCAGCCTGCAACCACAGTCGTGGCCAGAAAAGGTCAGCTTATTTTGTGTCATCCCCTCATTTTCTGCTGTCCCCTCAACTCCCATTCATTTTATCGCTCAGTCTCAAACTGGTTATAACCTTTTATTGAACCTCTCTGGGTTATCAGCAATGTGGGATATAATTTTACAACACATCAGAAGCTTTTTGGCTTAGGATTTTGAATTTTTCACCTTTACTTCAAATGTTAGCAATGTTGTGAGAAAAGAACACAGTAAAGCTAAGTCCTCTGTGAATGTAATACAGATACTAAAACAAAGTGGCCTATAAATATTTAACATCATGGAAACAATAAGCAGTTCTTTCAGGTTCAAGCACACTAACCTTTTCCTTTATCATTTTTATACCAATTTCATTATTAATTAGATGAATGAAATATGTAAAGCCTTTAGAATGCCTACCATATACAAGTAATGAAAGTGCAATAAAATTATTATTACATTGCTATTATTAACCAGGGATTCTGGAAATGAGAAATATTAATTAACTCCAACCACTTTGTCAATTATGCACCAAATATCCACCAAGATACATGTGAGGAAATATAGTCTATTTTTAAAGGATTTATTTTAGAGCATGAGTGTGTGCATGCATAGATGTCTGCAGAGGCCAACCAACCTAGAGTTACATGTGGTTGTGAGCCACCCAATGTGGGTGCTGCTAATCAAACTGTAGCCCTCTTCACAAGAGCACTACTGAACTACTGAGCCATAGCTGCAGCCCCATGAAACATATTCTTAATAAAAACTAAACAGAGTTATCTCCTAGGGATCACAAAAACACACTGCACATACAAATGCTGGCTCTCACCTTAAAAAGAGTCCCTCAAACACGGCTCAAATGACCAAAAAAATCCATGGTGGTCACCAGCGTGCTACCAGGATACACTCTTCCTTCCATGTGAGCCTTATCACTATCACCACAGAACCGACAGGCCAAGCCCCAAAAAGGCACAGAGGCTGGGCAGGTCTTAGGCTAAAGGTAAGTAACACTAGAGACCACTGAGCTCTGCTCATCGCTGCCACCACGAATGGACCACAAGCCACAGTGGACCAAAGTATGACAGAGTTGCTAAATGGAAAGCACTCTTAAAGCTGCTGAAAAACTGGGTACAGGCCACGGCCTGAAGCCCATCCCATCTCTTTCACAATGTGATTCGAGTCCAAGGATACTTAGCTATGCACTAAAAGACAATTTCTTCAGCCATGGGATGCTATGTATTTTAAAGGTATTCATAATATCCAATAGTAAGGAATCCAATAAATAATGTTCACTTATATGGAAGGATGCCAGATAACATTTCAAAGCTAATACAGAGTTTTAAATGTAGTAACTGAAACATGAAATTAAAGCCAGGTGCAGTGGGGCACACACATCTGTAACACCAGAATTCGGGAAATGGTGGCAGAAGGAATCCAAGTTTGAGATCAGGCTAGGCAAAGTATTGAAACTCTGCCTCCTAAGGAAGACAAATTAAAAGTAGAGGGAAGTCTTCCATATAGCTACTCAATATTTGGTGAAGCTATGTGAAGATTTTGTAATATGTATATATGTGTATGACACAGACAGATAGATAACAAAGAAACACAGACACATACAAATTTTAATAAGTGGTGGTGAGATTACCAGCAATTTTTATTTTCTTCTTTATGCATTTCTGTATTTTCCAAAATAACCACTTACACAGTGCTTGTATATAAGGAGGACAAAAAGGGGAGTCAGAGATGGTTCAGTGGTTAAGAGCACAGGCTGCTCTTCTAGGGGACCCAAGTTCAATTCCCAGCACAGATATGGTGACTCACAACTACCTGAAAATCCAGTCCTAGGGAATCCATCAACTTATTCTGGCCTCTGAGAGCACTGCACGCACATGGTGCAATACATACAAGCAAGCAAAATACTCATAACACACAAAATAAAATACCAAAAACTTTAAATTCTAAAAAGGATATTTTAAATAAATCTAACTTTTAACTCTTCCCCTAGAAGTAACTAAGAGAAATAGCAGAGTGATCACAAAGAAATAGGCCATTTAAACCTATAAAACCAAAGCAGATGGTCATTGAGCATCTAACAGCCTTTCCCAGTTCCTCTGGGCCACTTCCTTGTTAAAGGGTTGTGCTGGATAGTCTTATGTCAACTTGACACAAGCTAGAGTTAACTGAAAGGAAGGAGCCTCAATTGAAAAAATGCATCCATAAGATACAGCTGTAAGGCATTTTCTCAATTAGTGATTGATGGGGAGAGCCCAGCCCATTGTGGGTGGTGCCATCCCTGGGCTGGTAGTCCTGGGTCCTATAAAAAAAACAGGCTGAGCAAGCCATATGGCGCAAGCTAGTAAGCAGCACTCCTCCAGGGCCTCTGCATTAGCTCCTGCTTCCAGGTTCCTGCCCTGCTTCAGTTCCTGTCTTGATTTCCTTTGATTATAAACTGTGATGTGGAAGTGTAAGCCAAATAAATCCTTTCCTCTCCAAGTTGCTTTGGCTGTGGTATTTCACCATAGAAATAGTAACCCTAGGACAAAGGTGCTCTCTTTCTCAATAACTGCCTCCTTTCTCCAGTGAATGAAGAAGTAGTCAGGGAGAGGAACAAATTAGATGACCAAAAAGTTAGGTCCTCTTCAGCAAATACAACATCAGCATCTCAGAGACAGGAAGGCCTCACCGGCTGTCACGGTCCCACAGGAGGAGGCGTATGTGGTTGATAATGGATGGCTGGCCAAGCTTGATCTCAATGCCAGAGCGGCAGTCATCATCGATGGGATGCCTGGAAAATCCATGATCCAAGTCATAATTTTGAGTGTCACCATCCAACAAGGCTGACTTCAGCTCTCCTTTCACAACCTGGGCTCCATACTTCATAGTTGCGATGTTTTCTTCTGGTACTATAGTCAGAAACAGAGTGGTGGAGCGGTTATTTTTAATTATTCTATATTAGTGAGGGAAAGGAACTTGTAAGCATTTTCGTAGATTCCAGTATTGGCATTTGATTTTAAGTTGCATAGGCAAGTCTATGGAAATGAGGAATATAGACTGTCCACCAAGATTAGGATAGCATTCAGCATTCAAAGTGAATGTCACTACCACATCTATAGTGAGCCAGACACTTAACATTAAGAGACAGTTAACACTAGAAACACAAGTGGTAGGACAAACATATCCTCTCTGCAGAGTTCATTCTGTTAGCAGCTTTAATGTCTGCTGACCAAACACAGCCCATCAGATGACCTGCACCCGCCATGCGAACTGAGGACAGATGTACAGCAAACAGGCCAGATATCTGCTCAGACAAAAGAAGAAGCTCCAGTGTTAGCTGCTGGTAGTCACAGACAGACAAGAGGAATCTATTTCTCAAGCTGAGAAAATAGGATTCTACCTTAAAAGAAAATAAACATCACTTGAGTTTTGTTGTTTGGTTTTAATGAAAATTCAGAAGCTTGTCACCAGAATCAGTATTGTAGTTATTTTAAGCCGCCTCCTCTCTCCAATGAGAGATTAGTGTCTGGGACTTTAAAGTCATCTATACACATCACACTTCACAGGAAAGGAAAATGTCTCCAGGTACTAATACCTAAAACTGGTACTCTCCATGGAAAAACACGAGGCTGCATAAACATGCTCAGAGACCAAGTCATGATTTAAACCAAGGCTGTACTCAGACCCGGATATGTCACTCAGAAGAAATTAACTCTTTCTAAATGTCAGTTTCTTAAGAGGACAATGCCTGTCCCCTACATGTTCTCTGTAAAGGCTCAGAAGATGTTTGTAAAGCATCTACTATGCTTTTTAAAAACTATCATTACTATATTACACATTTGTAAGAGAACTATGCAGGTTTCCCAGAGTGCACATACAACTTGGCTGGATGCTATGAAGGGAAAAGTGAGACATATCGTCAGGTGCACAAAGAAAAGAGAGGAAGGAAGAATTCAGCATTGCAGATATGGTGGTAAATCCGTTTTCTGGAAGTTTACAACGAAGACAGGTAACAGTGACTCCAGAAGAGGACAACAAATGTAGCTAACAGCAGAGGCCAACACTGAAATGACTCGGCCAGACAAACAGAACAAGTACAGCAATGCTCAACAGCTACCGCGGCAACAACTTAGGGCTTTCTGCAGACACTATGATCAGTATCTTATTCTTCACAGACACTGGCAATCACTTCACAAATACCCTCATAGTACTCCTCGGAGCACAGTACAACACTGCCACCATCACAGACGAGACGTGGAAACACCAAAAGCTCGATGGACGGAGTGTCTGTCCAGCAGCCGCAGAGCTGGTGTCAGACCCAGGCAGCCAGGGGTCCCTGCTACTTTAAGGCTCTGACCTCCTTCCTAAGCAAACTCTGATGGGACTGTCACCTCCGGCTCTGACAGTACAAGTCAACACCGAGACACAGAGGGACTTGTGTCAAGTCTCCAAGCTTAGACACTAAAGACAAGCTTCCTTCAGTACTAAAATCTACCAAGCTCTGAATAACACACCAGGTCCAAGAGTTTCTAATGATTACAGCTGAAATCTAAAATAGAAATGAAAGTTTATCGCAAGTCGAAATCTTCTCTTGAAGTTTATTTCAAGAGTACTTGAGCATTTTCTAGCCATTCTCAACAAGTTCATTCCCTGAGAGCATCTTTCACTCTGACATGAAGATCATTTATACAAGTGGAAATTCCCTCATGGTAACTAGAATATGAGTACACTGCTAGATGAAAATATAGCTCCAAGGCATTTCTTTCTTCAAAATCTATAGCTAAATGATGAATTTAGAAGAAAAAGTAATCCTGGAAAAATTTAAATTACAGAAGTATTCAAACCATGAGTATTTTTAGTACCTGTATCTCTCTATCCATGAAGAATAAAACTCTCAAAAAATAAAAGGCAGCAGTAGGGATTGAGCAAGATCATAAATAACAATCAAAATTTTCTTTAGATTTATATTTTAAGGCAATTAAAAAAATTGAGCTTCAAAGCCCTATAGGTAGGTAAAAATAAACCAATTCTTAGAAAGGGGGAGAGGGGGAGGGTGGAGTTATTTCAAGCCCCTCCTCTCTCCAGTTGAGATTAGTGTCTAAGACTGTGAAGTCATCTCTAGATCACACTCACAGGTAAGGAAGGTGTCACCAGGTACTGACAATAAAACCGACACTCTCTGAAGACTGACAGAGAAAGGCTGCATAAACATGTCAGAGACTGAGTCACAATTTAAACCAAGCTACACAGTGACAAAAGCTGAGGCACTGGGCTAAACCCATTACCCTGTGTTTTTCTTTTATGTTCCTAATCATTTGGGACATAGCACTTGAGACAGCCATTTACACCAATGAATTATTTGGACACAAAACAGCTCTCTGCCCACAAGAAAGAATCTCGTTACCCAGTTCTGTCACTAAGTCATCTCTTACCCTCCCTTTACTAACTTCCTGGAATATATGGTCCCCCTGCCTCCACAACCCTTCCCAACAACCGTCATTGTTAACAACGACTTCCCAAAGGCTCCCGTCTTGCTTTGACTCTCCCTATTAACCCACTATTTCCAGGCCTGCTTTCCACACTTTTCAATTCTGGCACTCCAACACACAAACTGCAAACAAAAAAGAAACCAGACAGAAGAAATTTTGGAAGATCATCTGCTTCGTGAGGCACAAGTCCTGCAGTCTGATCCCAGCCTAGGCGATTCACTTCACTTGGCAACTCTAGACAAGTTACCAAGGAAGAGCACACGGCTAAATGGGACCACCATCCAATCAACTTAAAGAAGCAGGTGTTCAGAGCTGCCTCCTATGTGTGAATCACCACACTAGACTCAGCCCCAGATGTTCAGCATCTGACAGGACAAGAGAACTTCCACTGACACTAAACACTTCCACAAACGTATCCCAGAGATGATACAGCAGTAAAAGGAACAAAGAGTTTTAAAAGGGTCATGTTACAACTGTCTTTATGTGATATGGGAGAGAGACTTAAATTGTAATCTAGAAACAAGTAAAATTTTCATCCAGCCATATATATTTTTAAAATCTTGATCTGCCAGGTGCTAGAAGACAAAAAGGGACACAACTATATCTTTAAAGAACTCAATCTAATGAGTGTCTAGACAAGCAAACCAACAATTATATCACAGTTGCAAAATCCCCAGTCCAGTGACTAGAAAACACACACACACACACACCCCAACAATTTACCTCAGGAGTCTTAGGAACATATTGACTTTTACTCAATAAAATAATCCTGAGGCCAGAATCTATGATCCAGCTCTCTGCTATAAACATGCAGAAACAAGAAATTACTGTTCTCTTTCCCACAATCTAAAACATGAGATAAACAAAACGTAGTATAACTTAGCCTTATTAGAAAAAGCACTGACTGGCAAGACAGAAGCCTCTCTAGAGCTAAGATACAACTAAATGTTAAGGGAATGGAACAGAGCCAGTTTAGATATCCTAAGAAAAAAAGTAATATCATTAAAAAGTTCATTTCCTTTCCCTACGTATAAATGCTTATTATATCTGCATAAAACTAAGTGAACTACCTTCTAAAAAGACCAAGCCTTATCACTGAGTAAAAACATCTTCTGGATCACCCCCTTGAAAACGGGGTGGAGTCTGCAATTTTGTAAAGCTTCGGAGTAGGCATCTGAGGGAAGAATCTTCCAGCAACCCACGTCCATGAACTCACAGCAGCACCAGGGCTGAGACAGGCCCTCTCTGCATTCCCGATTAGTTTTAAACAGACACACGCCCAGAAAAGAACACAGTCGCACAATCCCCCAGCAGCCCCCAAACCAGCAGAGCTAGCTTCAAAACCATCAGCCTAAGAACAGTTCTGTGCTGTCAGACCTCGTTTACCAACCAGAGAAATGTGCTAAAATAATATCCGAATGTCTGGATAGTTCTTAGAAAATAATCTCTAAGGATCTGCAAGGAATGTATTGTGCTTCCTCAGTATTTTTATTATTAATTTTATTATCTAAATACTATAAAAGTCAGGATAATATTTTGCTATTTAGCCATTACTCAATGATTTTATGATTGCCAAACACTTTCATAACCTATTCCTTGAGCTCTGCCTGAAATTCTCCAAAATGAAGAATTTAACACTGATGAGCAATAATCACAGTAAACATATCATTCCAGAACTGAGTGCCTCAACTATTCCTTCCTTAAGGAATCTCCCAGATTACCAGAGTCCATGGCTTACACATGGACTGACCAGTTAATCAATTCCAAGAAACCAGTAACTGTATGAAGTGCCAGATACACCTAACTCCTACTTCCATGTTCCAACTCATCTTCAGCAAATTCAGTTCAAGGGCCCTATCAGCCAATCATAGGAAGAAGGGGAGGGACTTATATAGGAGGGTACCAAATGAGGATTTGGGCAGTGAAAAATTCAACACTCATCTTGTTATGACACCTTTCACCCTCTTACTCCACCTAAGGCTGACCTTCAACTAGCCCCTCTAGTTACTTCCTAGACCTCTGCGGTTTGTTCTCCACAGCTACACCATTCTGTTTCCTCTACTGCCTTTTACCTCAATTCATAAACCAAATCACTAACACATTGTAAGTATTATCCATTCAAATCTAACAGCTTGATTCCCTTTAGACTCTTCACAAACTCACACAATTTATATCTAAAGTCGTCTCAGTTCTCATTCACCTTGACCATCTGGCATCGTGAGATGCCATGGACTGCCTCTCCACAGAGCACCCCTCCCCTCTCATTAGCCTCCGCCGTCTACCTACCTCTCTAATTTCCTCTCCACCTATAGGTCTTCCTCTGGCCTATAGGTCTTCTCCAAGTCTTGGACTTGGATTGTTTCTGACTCCTTTCTCTATACTCTTACCCAGCTTGAACTCTCTTTGTCACTGACTGACTGCTCCCTGAACACCAGTAACATGCTTCCACGTCCTATTAGCTTTGGCTCCTGAATTCATCCACCAAGCATTCACTTGCTATATGCTCATCAGTTTGTTGAATAGTCAACATTAAAGATCAATAAATAAGACCCACAAAAAAAACCACTGTCTTTCAAACCCAAAGGTAAGTAAAGGAAACTGTTTCCAAGAACATGGTGAACGTGACGGTTCCCACAATGACTATGGAGATGAGAGGAACCACATCAATACTGACAGCAATAGTTTCCTGGACTGAGTTCCCAGGCTGTATTTACACAAATTATTCCAATTAATCCTCATAACAATACTGAGGTAGAAAACTAAAACTCAATTTATTGCCAGATCATATAGCTAATGACTAATTCAGGACTTAAAATTAAATTTATCTGGCTGAGGAACTCAGGAGATAGCTCAGTCTATAGAGTGTTTACCAAGCCAACAGTGAGGACCTAAATCATTTCCCAGAGCCTACATAAAAAGTTGAGTAAGTATAAGGGCACACAATTGTAAATCCCAGCACTGGAGAAATTGACAGGTGAATCCCTGGGGTCTGCCACCCAGCCATTCAGCCTAATCAGTGTGCTCCAGGACCCAACAAAAGACCTTGTCTCAGAATCAAGCTGGATGACTCTATGGAATACTGCCTAAGGCTCACCTCTGGCCTCCACATGCTGTGCACACATATGCATGTGCACCCACAAAATGTGTGAGGCCAAAGAACTACTATGTCAACTGAAAAGAAATCTAGATCTGATCACTCAGGAAATAAGTCGAGGCTAAGGACATCTATTAAGGGCCCACTCGCATTTCAAGAATGTCTCAAACCAGTCAAGAAAGGTATCACTCCAGGAAATGGCGAGCCTCGCCAGAAATGACACATATCCAGAAGCCCTCAAGCAGAATAACCCAAAACCAAGGTCAGCATCTCTCGGCAGAAACACTGTGTAACTGAGGACATGAAATGTGCTGAGGTTTAACTGGCACTGTTTACTACCCTAAGCTAATGAGGCCTCGAAATTTCTGGCTTCTTAGATTTAGAAAACCATGGCAAACTTACCTTCACCTTAATGCTCAATTTTAAACCCTCCCATCACCAAGCTCTTCTTGGAACCCTGTCTATACCTGTTACTTTCCACCTCTCTGCCATCACCTGCTCTGTCAGTTGAGCAGATCAAATTCCCTCCTCACTCGTCTTCCCGAATCCAGTTTAAACTCTCCCAAACCATCTAGGAGAGCACCACCATGTAGTGCAGGCCACTCCCAAATAAGCTTCTCATTGTAGAGAAAGTGATGTGAATCAACTTCCAAAGACCTCCACGATCTGTTTGAACTGGCATGTGCAGCCACTGGATCACACAGCAGTGTACTATGCCTTCTGTTGTATCCAGCTCTTTAGCCCTGGCCTCTCAGACACACAGCCCTATTAATCTCAGCCATCTTCCCAACTGGCGCTCACCCAATCCTAACGCCACTCCAACCAAACATGAGTTTCATGCCCGCTCCTCAATCATTCTAAGCCACCTTTTCCTGAAGTTACAGTGTTACCTACTTCACCACTGTTGTGTTTAGTTTGTCACAGGCCTTCTCTCCTCCACGATGAAACTGGGAGAGTCAAAAGTAGAGGCTGTTCTCGGCACTTCTGCTGCACACTTTAATGGTTAAAGGCACCGCCTTACAGAGGCAAGCTACGTCCAATTCTCAGTGCATCAGCCTCTGTGTGACTTTGGGCAAGTTACCTAACTCTCTGTGTTTCATTTTCTTCATTTGTAAAACAACTAGTTAAAAATAGGCTGTATCTCCTCAATGGAATGTGAGAACTGAATGGTTATGTAGAGCCCAGTCCTGACACAGAATACATCTGATAATTGCTAACTGCTATTATTTCATTTGCAAGAAAAATCAGAATACTGTTATTAACATCAGCCATTGTGACCATTACTTAGAATCTCTATGCGTGGTACCTAAAGAATTAGGTAAACAGCACACATGCAGGACTTGTTTGTTACAGAAAGGAGGGAAAAGTCTTAGCTTAACAAGCAACTTTTCCAGAACATGTCTACTGACATTCTGAGGAGCAGGTGGAAAATGTGTGACTGTGTAACTGATGACATGAAATGTGCTGAGGTTTAACTGGCACTGTTTACTACCCTAAGCTAAGCTAAGAAACAGCTGTGCTGGGCTGACAATAGCTCATCCTGTTGGGAAGAATGACAGGGAAAAGACATCCACAGGAAGCAGAGCTATGTCCTCTTGGCCCCGGTACATGCCATGCATACCTGCACCACAGTTCTACAGCTGGAGTTCTGCAGTTAGGACTGGCTAAGATGCCAACGAAAGTGCTAAGGGAGAAGGGGAAATAGGTACTTACTGAGCATGCCTCTGTAGTTGAGGTCCATATCTCGGCTCTCTGACCGCACCTTAATGGCATCTAGAATAGCATCTGGAGACAACAGTCCTGAAGGTCTCACAACGTTCAGAAGCTCAGTAAGGCTCATTAGAGGTAAACGCACAGCCTGCATGATTTCAGCATGATTCTCCTTCGCATTGTGCTTACACCAGTTTAACAAGGCTAAGAAAATATCTTTCTCAGGAGCAGCAAACGAATCTCTTAAAACGATGTTCAGAAGTGCTGTCTGCAAAGGATAAAAAGGGAGCATAAAAGTCAGCACGGAACACAACCATATGCATAACCAGTCAGCAGAACTTAACCAGACCACAGGTAGTATTTCTTTCCTTGTGTTTTGGCCTTCCCATCTATTCCCTTCTCCCCTTCTGGCTATGTGAATAAGCAGCAGTAGTGAGTCAAGTGTTTCAGCTCATGCTTGTTAATACCAGCATTTAGAAGGCTGAGGCAGAGGGATTACTGTGGGTCTGAGGTCAGCCTGGGCTACATAGTGAGTTCAAGGACAACACGGGTTACTTTAAAAAGAAAAAAAGAGTAGCATCTTTCCTATTCAGGCTTTTTGTACCACCATATAAAGCAATTAGTCTTTCCCTACACAGCTCTACCCATGTTTTGCTGTTTTAAAGAGATTTCCTTGACTAATGTTTAAAGTTATAATACAGAGTGAATAATTTTCCATGTGTTATTTTGCTTGTGTTTGTAGCACTCCTCTGCTCCACTGCCCTCCTCTTGCTGGTGCCCTGTCTCTGCCCCCTGCTTCTGCTTTCACATCCTATGTCTTCCATTACCCCACACACACACCTTTTTTCCTACCCGTTCTCTTTAATTATTATTAATTTTTATTCATGTGCATTGGTGTTTTGCTTGCACGTATGTCTGTGTGAAGGTGTCAGATCCACTGAAACGAGTTACAGACAGTTGTGAGCTGCCACATAGGTTCTGGGAATTGAACCTGGGTCCTCTGGAAGAGCAGCCAGTGCTCTTAACCGATCAGCCATCTCTCCAGCTCACATTCTCTTCGTTCTTATGATCTTCTTCCCTTTTCATAGTTCCCTTTCTAGTTTCATGGCCTACACCTACTATGTTGGTTGCCTTGTGTCAACTTGACACAAGCTAGAGTCATCTGGGAAGAGGGACTCCAATTGAGAAAATGTCCCCGTAAGACTGGCCTGTGAACGAGTCTGTGGGGCATTGTCCTGATTAATGACTGATGTGGAAGGACCCAGCACACTGAAAGCAGTGCCACCCCTGTGCAGATGGGTTGTGGGTTGTACAAGAAAGCAAGCTGAGCAAGCCTTGGGGAACAAGCCAGCAGGCATCACTCCTCCAGGGCCTCTGCTTTGGTTTCTGCCTCCAGCTTCCTTCTCTGACTTCCCTCAGTGATGAAGTATGAGCTAAGAGTTGTAAGCTGAAATAAACCTTTTCCTCCCCAAGTTGCTTTTGGTCGTGGTGTTTTATTAAAGCAATAGAAGCCAAATTAAGAAACCTGACCCCTTACATATTGCATATTTATACACATATACATGTAATGTAGAGTCCGTTATGAGAGCAACAGGTGAAATTTGTCTTTCGGAGTACGGCTTGTTTCAACTCATGTAATGATTTTTCAGTTCTTCCATTTTGCTGCAACTGTCATTATTTCACTTTTCTTTCCAGCTGAACAAAGTTCCATTGTATTTATATACCATGTCATCTATTTGGCTGCTGATGGACCTCTAGATTGGTGCCTTTTTTCAGCTCCTGCAAACAGTGCAGTAATAAACCTGTATCTGCAAGTATCTCTAGTATGTTGACTTAAAGTCCTTAGGGTATATATGCAGGAGCAGAATAGTTTGTAGCCATCCTCTTATGAAATAGCAAGAACAAAGATGACAAACTGTACGTGTGCATATGTGTGTGCACGTGCATGCATGTGTGTATTCTTCTACAAGGTGTACATTTGTAAGTCAGTAAGATAAGCCTAGAATTAAAAATTCAAAACCTTTAGTTTTACAGTATTGCTGCACTATCATGGTTTTGGTCTTTGGCTCTCTGGACTGACCTCCATAAACACTGATGCAGCCTTGAAAGTCCCTTGCTCACAGAAGTTAAGTAGGATAATAAAAAACAAACAAACACACAAAACCCATCAGTTCATTCAAATCAAGATGCATAGCTCTTTAAAGGAACACACACACACACACACACACACACACACAAATACTGAGAGAGACAGAGAGTCACCGCTCTAAGTCCAATGGCAGATTTAAGTGACAGTTTTACAGTGGTAAACTGTAGACCAGCAAGAGGAGGATCACCAGCAGTTGCTTAAGAGGCATCCACTGGCACTTCAGATTTCCTTTATGAATTTTCCCTCTGTGCTACTGACTCTATCCCAGCCCTAAAGACTTTTCCCTTTTGCCAAAATAGAATTCTTAGTTATATTCTACATCAGAGAAATACAAAACCAAAAAGCAGTATGCAATACAACAAAAAAAATCTTATTTGACTGTCATATTAAAACCAACTGCCCACCAGACCAGTCTCTTTTGCACACAAAACTAAATGGAACCAAGAGCCTTAAAGATCAGAGCCTTAGAAGTCAGTGGCAAGTGCTAGACCAGATGACTTCTTTGAGAGCAAGGACCTTTATCTTTGATTCTTAGACCACTGTGGTGTGGTCACTGTGTAAGTACAAATGAAATAATGCATGCCGAGAAATCAAGGGCAGACCAAAACACACCTTGGAAAGGGAGAGGAAGCCTTCACTGGCGAGCACCTCCTGAGCATTTCTGTCCATGAACATGCAGCACATACAAGTTAGCTTGGGAAGTGAGTAGAGACTGGCAACATCAAAAGTCATACAGACGTTCTGAATATTAAGTATGGTGCAGAGATATTCAGAGGTAGAATCCTCTAGCTCTGGAAATCCATATTTATGAGCCAGGCTCAGAAAATCCAGCAGCACCTCCTCCTTCTCATCTGTCAGTGTCGCCCGCCCCGTGTAGATGTATTTGAGTAGCATTGTGAATGCTTCTGCAGTGGTGTCTTGGAGAGGGATTTCTGCTTCAGGCTGAGACTCTCGCATCCCACCATACAGTAATGCTCTGCACACCAGAGAAGAAACATAGTTGGAAAACCTCAAATATGATTTGCTACAAAATACCTGTAATAATGATTATCAATACTATACAGACATAAATTTGCTTAATGACACCAAGATCCAGGTGGAGAACACAAGTGATTGTAAATGGTTCTTTAAAAGAAACAAGAGGCGCTGGGCGGTGGTGGTGGCAGCGCACGCCTTTAATCCCAGCACTCAGGAGGCAGAGCCAGGCGGATCTCTGTGAGTTCGAGGCCAGCCTAGGCTACCAAGTGAGTTCCAGGAAAGGTGCAAAGCTACACAGAGAAACCCTGTCTCAAAAAACCAAAATAAATAAATAAAAGAAACAGGAGGAATAATTTAAAAAACCATTTTGAATTGATATCATAAACATCTAAGCTAAATGAGATACCCTGAGAACGCAGGATCACATAGAAAATTGGAAGTCCTCATTTGAGAGGGACAAAGAACTTAGCATAAAGATGTCAGAGGTCCACAGGCAGCCGAAAAGTAAACCCTACAGGAAAATGATGAGCTAAACACTAATGGGAGCCTCTGACAGCTGCACAATGAGAAAACACGCTCTGCCCTGCAGTGTTTTAAGGGACTATGTAAATGGCCCTCTCTTTTTGCAAAGAAATTTAGTAATATACCTATTCAGATTTGAAATGTACATACCCTTCAGCTCAGTAATTGTTCTTTTAAGACCCAACTAGAGAAAAACATAACTCATTAACGACATATAGGAATGAATACTGGAACGCTGGGGAAAACCAAAATGTCAAGATGAACATGGTTGAAACATTGTAACATACATACTCTATGACACCATTAGGAAGATCAATAGAGATCAATGGATACTATCTAGGAGAGGTCTGCGTTCATGTGAAGGGGGTCTGATGCTTACTGTGAGAAGTCTCCTCTTGTACAGCTAGCATGCCCTTGCCAGGGAACAGATAAGCTCTGGTGACAAGACTTAGTCAGGACTCCCCCCCCAACTGCTGCCAGTCAACTTTGCTTTGTACAAGAATAGTGTTATCAATGAGAATCTAAGAAAGCTTTGGTGGTGGCGTGGATTTAAGTCCAAGTGAGTCACAAAATTCTACAAAGGTTCAATATCCACAGAAGCAAAAAGGTCAATGAGTGAAAGAAATGTATTCCATTAGCTCAATACCATCTTCAAGTTTCTAAAAATGTTTGGATTTCTTTTAAAGAATATACTGATCACATGACATACATTCACATACAGTTTTTTTCCAATTGCTTCTTAAGGAGAGTAAAATATACAGTGTTCAGAAATAGTAAACATAAAGCCAGAAAGTTCTATTATTAAGAAAGAGTCTTTAAAAAGCATTTTCATAGGACTAACTGGACTAAATGCAAGAAAAGAAAAAGGAAAGGCATGCTGAGGACAGGAACCATGAACAATGGCCCAACTAAGGCCCAATGCGATGAAAACTGACCCTTGGGAAGGTGACAGTCTCTTGCTGATTTCTAAGCTTCTGGTTTCATGTCTAGTATTTTATTTAAAGGATGGGAAGTTGTGAAAATGCCTGTAAGTTAACTATGGTAGTTCTTAGCCAAAGAATTTATTTTATTTAAAGGATGGGAAGTCATGAAAACGCCTGTAAGTTAACTATGGTAGTTCTTAGCCAAAGAACACAGGCTCCCAAGAAGCACAATGATGGTGAATGTGACTCCAAGGTGTGCCTGTTTTGCTGTCCCCATTAGCTCTCATTTCAAGGTCAGATGCAGCACTCACTGGAGGACAAATGAATTTTCTCTAAGCCACCAGGCATCTCAACTTCTCCAAGTAAAACTGTGACTCTAAGCCGGGCGGTGGTGGCGCACGCCTTTAATCCCAGCACTCGGGAGGCAGAGCCAGGCGGATCTCTGTGAGTTCGAGGCCAGCCTGGTCTCCAAAGCGAGTTCCAGGAAAGGCGCAAAGCTACACAGAGAAACCCTGTCTCGAAAAACCAAAAAAAAAAAAAAAAAACTGTGACTCTATGTACCAGCTTTATCATTATAAACAGACAAAGTTTTGTAATGTCCAAGATAAACAATCACATAGGCAATAAAGTCACTGGTGATTTCCTTTTAGCCAATATTAGGTGAAATGTAATTAAGAGATTAGTAATTTTTATAACCTGAAAAATTAAAGATCTAAGAAATAGCTGTCTATAAGTGGCTTTACATTCATAAAATATGTATATGCATCTATATGTATATGTATATATAGAGAGACAGATATAAAATATATATACTTTTAGTTCTAATGTAACTCTGAAAGTCTCAGTCAATACTTGTTTTTTTTTTAGTGAGATTAGCACATATCTGGAGAGCTCTGTTAGGTTACCCACAGGTGTTAGCTATAGTAATCCACTACCAAGAAACACACATGCCATGTGCATTCCAGAAAGTTCACTCCCTATACAACAAGAAGCTATCAACCGGTAACTCAGGGTAAACCCATCCTTCATCTACTTGAGCAGAGGGTAAAAGCAACACACACAGCTAAAAGAGTTCATTGGAACGTCTGGCCCAGACAGCCTTTAGCCCCTTAATTCTAAATTGGCTCCTAAAGAAAAGGCAATTCTCAGAAAGTAACAAATACACAAAGATAAAGTTCTTTTAGACATTATACTAAAGGACTCCACTTGCTGTTACACTTAAGTTACATATTTTTCATAGAGAACACCAGTGCTTCCCACAGATGACTTAAATCTAAAAATAAATAAATAAAAATTTTTAAAAATACATTATATACTTACCGAAAATATTGGCACCTAGCTGCTAAAATTACCCTGTGGGCAGGAAAGCGCTTCTTTTCCACAACAAATGTGACATCACCATATTCTTCACCAATCAACAAGGCACCAATATGCTCAGACAGAATGTGCACATGATCAATTTCCCCCACTGCAGTAAAGGGGCGAAGAGGGTGGCTGTTACTCATCGTGTGGAATAGATGATAGTCACTGACCTGTCACACAAAGGAGGAACGTGGGTTAGTGAGGAAAAGGAGCATACACAGAAAACTGCGAGTCCTATCAGCCAACCAAACTTTACCCCAAAGTTCATCATCAATAATTTTTTTTCTTTATGAAACAGTCTTCAAATATGTCATCTAGGCCCACCTTAAAGTCAGTATAGATCAGGCTATCTTAGGGCCCACCATCCTCCTACCTCAGCCCAAAGTATCAAAGGTTTCCTTTTTATTTTTATTGTATTATTATTTTGTTTGTTTGTTTTGTTTTTTTGAGGCAGGATTTCTCTATGTAGCCCTGGAACTCGATCTGTAGACCAGGCTAGCCTTTAACTCACAGAGATCTGCCTGCTTCTAACTCGAGTGCTGGAATTAAAGATGTGCACCACCGCCATCCACATGGTTTCCTTTCTATTAACCTGCTTATTCTAAGAAACAACTCAAGCTGTTTTAATTAGCTCCACGACCTTCACTGCCTCATCACACTAGAAAAGCAAAAATGTCTGGATATTCACATACTAGCAGTGCTTGGAGCCATCACAATCTGGAAACACTGGCATCTGTGGTTCTAGACTCTTTCCTTGCCTCAGGGAAAGGCAAGGCAACCAGCAGAGTATGCCTGCATTGAGCATAGACTGATTTAGCAAGGCTGGATACAGCTACATCCAGCAAAGTCTTTCAAGTACAGATCTAGGAATAAATTACAGAGTAAATTTAATATCATTTCATATAAGAGTTTTTGGTCTGAAACCATCTTTAAATAATTGATAAAAAACAATCTTCTGTAGTCACAAAAGTGACTTACTTTATTAATAAAAATTTACAGGAGCATCACAGCCCTCTTCTAAAATGAGAATCCATCTGGCATAGTCTCTAGACTGCTACTTCTCAGCATGGAGAAGTGCCACATACTTCTAATACCAGCACACTCGAGAGGCCAAGGCAAGATTATGAGTTCAAGGCCAGCCTTAGCTACATAGTAAGCCTTCTATTTCCTACTGTGGCTCTAATGATGAGGTTGATGGCAAATACCAGAATATCACTGTATTTATTGGCACTTCCTTGCCTTTATGTGCAGTCTGTCTATAAAAATAAATGAAAATCAAGAGGCTGGAGTTTGAGTAACATATTCAAAAGGGAAGTTCAGACCTTAGAAAGCTAGAACTGCTTACAAATTTTTATTTGTAAGCATGCCTTTTTTGGATGTAATAACTCAGCAAATGTATGAGGGTCTTCACTAGCATTCAGATCCCAGGTGTAAGAGGTGCCTGGTGGCTCAGAAGTAGCCTCTATATTGCACAGAACCAGTGAAAGCAAGCCAAATATACACTCTTCACCAGACCTCTACCATCTTCAACAATGTGTTATAATCAACATTAAAGATTGAAGAGCTCTCATCTTCAAACTTCTATATGCAGATATTCGTTTTCATAGCAAGGTGTATGAAGTCTGTCTCATATTGTGACTGCAGGGAAACCTTCATGAACAACGTTCTTCAGCTGCTTGTTATCACATGACCAGCCCAAAAGAGAGACCACCAACAGCAAGAGTTATGATGAAAGAACATGGTGGATGACTGGTAGTATCCTTCCCTGTTGCCAAAGGGTGGTGGTTTGAATGAAAACGGCCCCATAGGTTCATATGCTTCAATAGTTGGTCCACAGTTGGTACTGTTTGGGAAGGATTGGCTGTGTCATTGTTGGAGGAGGCATAACCCTGGGGGCAGGCTTTGACGTTTCAAAAGACCCTCCATGCCCAATGTACCTGTCCCGACTACAGTCTGTAATGTGAGCGCTCAGCAAAACAAACCCCTTTTCCGCAACGGAAGCTTCCACTTCAGAGTCAAAACTCAACCATCTTCAGTCATTTGTATGTGAAACATCAAATTCAGCTTAATAGGACCAACTTAGAAGTGTTAGCAATAACAGGAAACGTGTGCTATGACAGTCTAATAAAGGAGTTGGGGTACTTTCTAGAAAGGTTCCATAGTAAATACTTTTGGCTTTGTGCACTATACAACATTGTCATACATTTTCACGTCTGCCTTAAGAACTTAAAAGCAGCCATAGGCAATAAGTAAATGAATGAACATGGCTGTGGTCTAATAAAGCTATTAAAAATGAATGGGTGCTGGGGGACTAGCTCATTACAAGCATGAGGGCTTGGGGTCGATCTCTGAAATATCCACGTTAAAAAGCAAAACATGGAGGCTGGAGAGATGACTCAGAGGTAAAGCGCATTGGCTGTTCTCCAGAGGACCCAGGTTCAATTCCCAGCACCCACATGGCAGCTCACCACTGTCTATAACTCCAGTTCCAGGTGTTCTGACACCTTCACACAGACACAACTGCAGGCACACTAATGCATATAAAAGTAAATAATTTTTTTTTAAAAAAGCAGCACATGATGGAACACAGATTGTAATCCCAGCACTGGAAACAGAGATAGTTGGGCCCCTGGGGCTCACTGGCCAGCCAGTCTAGTCTATTCAATGAGCTGCAGGCCACTGAGAGATGGTGCCAAAAGAGAAAGGGGGGGGGAGAGGGGGGGAGGGAAGAAAAGAAAAGGTAGTAGTGTTTAAGGATGGATTAAGACCCAAAATTGTCCTCTGACCTCTACAGACATAAACACAGATATAATACATTCATGTGTATGTGCTTGTGTACACACATACACACACATACACATACACACCACCACCACACCACATTCATATTTAAAGAGAAAAAAGACTTATTTGGCCAATGGGTCACAGTTTGCCAAGTGCTTGACTAACATGATCAAGAACTCTAGACAAAGGATCAGACAGGGCTGGAGACTTGTTTTCTTCTCAGCTTATGTCGACCACACTCTGAAAGCCACTAGATTCTGATGTCAAATCCCACTCGTCCCGACACTCTGCTACTCCAAACCAAAGAGACACTTTGCACTGACAGCAGGCACCGCATGTGCCTCCTGAATATGCCCTGGGCTAAAATCTCTTAGTATTTATCTAAGTCATGGCCAAGACTCAACCCACTGCTGGCTGACTGGCTGAACAATGACTGAGTTTCTTCAGTTAACTAGCTCAGTGGGATATTTACAATTCATCAATGGACAAATCATGAACATTAATTCTGGATATGTAAATATCTGCCTTAATGGGTTCACCAGATCTTCACTTCTCAATACATACAATTTCACTTTGCTAAATTTACATTTTAATTATGTTTTTCCATGTGGAAATATAAAGTGAATAGTGCTGGATACAGAAAACAGCCACTTAGTGTGGAATAAACACAATTTTTATTGGCATATAGAAATAATTTTAATTAGACCAGTGGTTCTCAACAAGCTTGCCATACACTGGAACCACACAGGAAGCTCAGAAAAATGAAAATAAAATGCTTGAGTCCCACCCTTCAGAGAGACTTATTTAATTAGTTTGGAATGGGACACAGGCACCTGCAGTCACCATACTAACGTGATCTGAATGAGCAGTGTGGAGAAGAACCACAGTTCGGATTGCTGTGGGCTCAGGTTATGGTTTGCTCGTAGAATCCCAGAATCAACAAGTGACAGACTGAGGAGGTGGCAATCAACCTTTAGGAGGTAAGCGGGCCCACTGCAAAGTCCGGAGGTCACTGAGGACAAAGGGATTAAGGCAGTCCTCAAGGGACGCTTTGGCAGTTTTCTCAAGAGTTGCAGCCATAGCAAGCTTGGGCCCACTAAGCCCTCCGGCTTCCTGTTTCAAGACATCTTTTCTTCCTCTACATGTATTCCCATCGTTGTAATACCATCTTACCAACAGGAGGACCTGGGTCAATGGCAGGACTATGCCCTTGAACTTCTAAAATTATAAGCTAAATGAACCTCTTTTCTTTATAAAAGTTAGCCTACTTCAGATATTTCATATACTTATACAAAGCTAATACAGTTTACATTCCCTAGGCACACAAGTTCAAAAGCAAAGTATGTCCAAAAGACAAATAGGTTCTGTCTTAGGTTAAAATTGCTGTGATAAAACACCATGAGCAAAAGCAACCTAAGGAGAAATGGGTTTATTTCACCTTATAGTGTACAGTGCATCAGGAAGGGAAGTGAGGGCAGGAAGTCAGGGCAGGAACTCCAGGCAGAAACCTGGAAGCAGGAACTGAAACAGAGGCCATGGAGAAACACTGCTTACTAGCTTCTCCCCAAGGCTTGCTCAGCCCACCTATTTATACCACCCAGGACCACCTGCCTAGGACCAGTACCACCCTCAGTGGGCTGGGCCCTTCCACATCAATCAAGAAAATGCCCTACGGACTTCCCTACAGGCCAATCTGATAGAGGTATTTTCTCAATTGAGGATCCTCTTCCCAGATGACTTCAGCTTGCGTCAAGCTGGCAAAAAACTAACCAGGGCAAATTCTACTTTGATATTATTAACAAAGAGACAAATAATGCTAGCAAAATTATCAGACATGGCCGGGCGGTGGTGGCGCACGCCTTTAATCCCAGCACTCGGGAGGCAGAGCCAGGCGGATCTCTGTGAGTTCGAGGCCAGCCTGGGCTACCAAGTGAGTTCCAGGAAAAGGCACAAAGCTACACAGAGAAACCCTGTCTCGAAAAACCAAAAAAAAAAAAAAAAAAAAAAAAAAAATTATCAGACTATATATTCATACATGCAAAAAATTAAGTATTTTTATCAATAAACTAGCTTATCTACAAACTGATCATTCCTTTGTATTCCATATGCATTTTCTTTTTAAAAGCCTACTTTAAAAATTACACATCATTATTTTTAAGTCACCAGTTTTCACTTGATAAATAATAAAACTGGGGGAAAAGATGACTAAAGTTCATGGAACCGAGCACTGACATGACATGCTTCTACTTCCTACATTAAGATGCATTAAGCCACACATGTCACAGTTCAGAACTTGATAATCGAATGAAATCATTTCCACACTCATGATGTGAGTATGTTGTAGATGATTATTTTCTTAAGTTACATTTTATAATTCTGTCACTCT